AGTTTTCCGCTCGTTAAAAGAGTTTCTCTTGCAGCCAGATGGGTTTTTCGTGCCGCCTCTTGTCTTTCGCCCGTAGCGGGTACAACCGGCCGCTTTGCTTTATTGATGCTTCTTCAGCCGCTGTTAACTCGCCCACGAGATCTGGGTTTGTTAACGTTTGCTTCTTCGGTTTGCTTTTTTTCCCCCCCCCTTTATCCCACCGCCCCTTGTGTCTCTGCTCCTTTGCCGTCATCGTCCCCTGGGTGGGAAAGGCCACCTTCTTTGTTCCCCGTGCCCCATTTCGGACGCCCCATCCTTCTCTTGCACGTCCCATCGCTCCCTCGAAACTTCCCATTTTTCCCCACCAGGTTCAAGTCCTTCAGTTCCAGCACAACATTATTTTACACTCATGGAGCTTTTTTTTTTTTTCCTCCCCCCCCAACCTGTCCTTTTCCAAACCCAGGTGGAAGGCCAGCGCAGTGGATCGAGGAGTTGATATGGGCTTCTTCGCTCTTTGCTTTGGGAAGGAAACTGTCAGTATTGACCACAGCTGAATTTGCATACGGTCTTCATCCAAAAATTAATCTTCTTCTTTCAGTGACAATTAAAATAAATCTCAAAGCCCTCTTTGAAGACCCCGTGCATGAATATTTGGCGTCTGGTTTCTATTCTGTTGTCTTCAATGTTTATTCAACTTTTTTCCCCAGATTGTTTGAACTGATACCTCGATCCCTCCTTTCCCACCCCTCCACCACTGTAGCTGCATGGACTTTCCCAAGCTTTTTCACAAAAGAGTGTCCTAGAACAAAAGTTTTTTTTTTTACACAAATATGTGAACTTGATTTGCCTGTTGAATAGGGTTGATTTAAGATTTGTTTTCTAAACCTAAAGTCCAATTCAGATGTAAAAGCATGATTGCACATTGTACCACAGTGCCTGTTTTCCATTAGGGTATGATCTTCCTTATGTTTACTCAAGATGGACGTTAAGATACATACCTTGTATCAATTACATTTGCATTTGCAGGATGTGCGTACTGAAATTTTTCTGATCCGTATCAGCAATATTATGGAAATATTTATATGAAACTCATACAGGATATTATACTTTGTGTTAAATATTTTTATTAGTGATACAACATTATCAATAAAATACAGCAATACTTTGCAGTTATAGCATCCAGTTATTTTTTTAAAAAGTCTTTACAGCTTAGAGTTTTCTTAATACTTCTAAAAAAAAGAAAAGGTACAGTAGACATGTAGAGAAGAATTAAACTACTGTGCACGTGGGAGAAGCTTAACGATAGAAGCGTACAAATGCAGATGACCGATGACCTGGGCAGCCCTCACGTAGACCACAGCCTGGGGCGCACCGGAGCAGAGCGCGGGACGTCCTGCTGTCACACCGGCCTGCAGCGAGCAGCTCCTCGGTAGGCACCGAGGGCACCGCAGCCGCCCCGCGCGCTCCTCCCGAGCTACGTGCCACGTTTCACCATCGCACAGCCTGCAGAGAAGGCTCGTCAGCATCTCCGCCGGGCGCCCGCCGTCCCTTGTTCTTCAGCCACGACAACACGAGCTCCGCTCAGCTTCTTCCCTGTAAGCCTCCTCAGGCTCTGAACCTGTCATTGGAGAGGTCGATTTTGTTAAAAACAGCCTTTTCAAATCAAAACACTGTTGATTTCCTTACCGGAGAGTTATAAATCCTACAAAAGAGAGAGAAAAAAAAAATACCCCAAGTTCACCAAACGGAGATGCTCTTTCCTGCAAGCTTTGCTAAGCCCCGTCCACGGCCCTTTCCCGTGTCACCGCGTGGGCAGCAGCAGGCTGCCCCCTCGCCTTCCTCTCAGCTCTCGCTGGCTCCTGGCACAGGCGCTGGCAAGCAGGGTCCCCACCTTTTCCTTCAGGGCCATCCTACTCCCTGCCTGGACAAGCTGCTTTTTGACTGGGCCGAGCTAAGCAAGGTATATTTACCTTGTAATTAGCCCCTTGACGCTTTTGGAAAGGTTCTTTCTTGTGCTGTTATTCTACCTTTCCTGCCCGATTCTTTTGACAGCCCCTTTTGTTCTAGCAAATAGCGCATCTCAGACCAGAAATATATACTGTACTCACGGGAGATAATTCAGATAATTTCCCTTTTATCCCGACACTAAGTTTCAGTACCTTCATTCAGTACCTTCAACCTCTGAGTAGTTTGAATTAAACCATAACCCAAACAACAACATCTATCAGTTTATTACTGAGAACTTATAGGAAAAAAAAACCTTAAGCAGTGGGTATGTTTTCTGTGTCTCCCCCTAACGCCTCAGCTCTGTCGGTAACCCCAGGAAGACAGCGTTACCTGGCTGGTATTGCTCCTGCCGAGAGGAGCGTGTCTCCGTGAGCCTGGGCAGCGTCTGGCCCTGTCTGGGCTAAGCGAGGACCAAGGTGCAGGAGGAGCCAGTTTCTGGAGCGACGCAGCTGGAGCTGGGGACCCGATCCACACCACGTGTATTTTCGGGGATCTTATTTAGAGTACCTGCTCCAAAGGACTAACCATCCTCAGCATTCAGTGCACACCTTCCCGTTAGCTCCTGCTGA